TATTAACTATTTCTACCCTGTGTGCAATAGATCTGAAAACCTGTCCTCCTGTCTAAATGAAACTCTATACCTGTTCACCAGCATCTCCCCATTATCTTCAACCACCCCATCCCCAGTCTCTGGTAACCAGCATTCTACTTTCCACTTCTATGAGTTCAACATTTTTAGATTCCACATATAAGTGAGGTTATACAGTATTTATCTTTCTGTGTCTGGCTTACTTCACTTAGCATAACATCCTCCAGGTTCATCCACGTTGTCTTTATTCTTTAGAGTAGTTTTAGGTTAACAGAAAAACTGTCCAGAAGGTACAAAGACTTACCGTACACCTCCATGCCCCACAACATCATAGCCTCACCCATTATTGACAACCCCTGGGGGACTAGTACATGTGTTACAATCAATGTATTAATATTTACACTCATGTCATTATTATCCAAAGTTCATAGTTTACATTAGGGTTTACTCTGGATTTTGAAAACCATATAATAACATCTTTTTACCATTCTAATATCAGAAAGAATAGTTCTACTGCCCTAAAAATCCTCTACACTCTGTCTATTAACCCCCCTCCTCCCTTACATTGATTGCTTTACTCTCCTCATAGTTTTGCCTGTTCCAGAATGTCTTATGATTGGAATAATAGAGTAAGTATCCTTTTCAGATTGTATGCTTTCACTTAATAATATGCATTTAAATTTTCTCCATGTCTTTTCATGGCTTGATAGCTCATGCCTTCTTAGTGCTGAATAATATTTCACTGTCTGATGTGGCACAAATTGTTTATTCACTCACCTACCAAAATACATCTTGATGCCATAACATCAAGTTTTGGCAATTAGGAATAAAGTTGCTATAAATAGCTTTGTGTAGGTTTTTGTATGGGCATAAGTTTCAACTTGTAAATACCAAGAAGTGTGATTGCTTAATTTTAGGATAAGAGTATGTTAACTTTGTACACAACTGCCAGATTATCTTCCAAAGTGGCTATACAATTTCGCATTCCCACCAGCAATGAATGAGAGTTCCTGTTGCTCCACATCTTTGCCAGCATTTGGTGTTGTCAGCGTTCTGAATTTTGGCCAATCTAGTAGGTGCGTAGTGGTATTTCATTGCTTTAATTTGCATTTCCCTGATGACATGTGGTGTTGAGCATGTTTCATATGCTTATTTACCATTTGTATATCTTCTTTTTTTTTATTTTAGCGTATTATGGGAGTACAAGTGTTAAGGTTACTTATATTGCCCATGCCCCCCTGCCCCCTCAAGTAAGAGCTACTTCTTTGGTGATGTGTCTATTAAAGGCTTTGGCCCATTTTATAGTCAGGTTGTTTATTTCTTATTGTAAATTTTAAGAGTTCTTTGTATAGTTTGAATAACAGTCCATATCCTTTATCAAACATATCTTTTCCCAATATTTTCCCTCAGTCTGTGACTTGACTTCTCATTCTCTTGAGAAGACAGCATCTTTTGCAGAGAAGTTTTAATTTTAATGAAGCCCAGTTTATGAATTACTTCTTTCATAGTTCATGACTTTAGTATTGTATTCAAAAAGTCATTGGCATACCCAAAGTCGTTTTTCTCCTATGCTATATTTTAGGAGTTTTATAGCTCTGTATATATACTTAGAATTATGAACCATTTTGATTTAGTTATTGTGGAGAGCGTAATGTCTGTGTCTAGATTCATTTTGCTGCATGAAAATGTGGTTGTTCCAGCACCATCTCTTGAAAAGACTATCTTTGCTCCATTGTATTGCCTTTGCTTCTTTGTTGAAGATCAGTTGAGTATATTTACGTGGGTCTAATTCTGGGCTCTCTATTTTGTTCCTTGATCTATTTGTCTATTCTTTCACAAATATCATGGTGTCTTGATAACAGTACCTTCATTGGAAGTCTTAAAGTAGGATAGTGATAGTCCTCTGACTTTGTTCTTCTCGTTCTATAGTGTGTTAGCTATTCTGGGTCATTTGCCTCTCAATGTAAACTTCAGAGTCAATTTTTTGACATACACAAAATAACTTGCTGGGATTTTAATTGAGAAAAATCCATAGAAATGTATATGACAGGTGAACCTTAATGTTTGAACCTTTTAAGGAATAATGTATGAGGCTTAGATATACCAGGATGGAATGCACAATGTGACAGAAGGACGTAACCACATTACAAATGTATTAAATAGCCTCACTGAAAGGGGTGGTAGAAGAAAAGGCTGACCTAAGTAACTTTAGAAGTAAGTGTAATCTATAAGACTAAAGGTAAAAGCAGTTGTAAGAACTGTGTGTAAGAACTGTACATTGGCTGGTAAGATTGTTTCCTATAGGGTATAGCAAACAATTCCTAAACTAATATGTATGTGCATGAGTCTGTTCTCCAGAGAAACAGAAACAATAGGAAATATATTCACATCTTTACATCTATATGTACATATATGTATGGCAAGACAGAGAAGGAGAGTAAGAGAGATACTGATTTGCTATCAGTAACCAGCTGATGTAATTTTGGAGGTTGACGAGCCCCAAGATAGCAAGCTAGAGATCTAGGAGAGCCAAAGTTCCAGTTCTACACTTGGTCCCAAGGCCTGAGGATCAGAAGATCCAATGGTGTAGTTCTAGTCAAAACCACGAAAGGCTTGAGACCTAGAAGCTGATCTTTAAGTTTTAGTCAAAGGGCAGGGAAAAAAGCAATGTCCCAGCTCAAAGACATTGAGTCAGGCAGAAGGGTGATCCACTTATTCAGCCATTTAATTTATGTCCAGGCCTTCATCTGATAGAATGGCCCGACCCACATTAGGAAGAACAATCTATTTTACTTAGCATAACAATTCAAATTTAATCTTATCCAGAAACACCTTCACAGACATATCCAGACTAATGTTTGAGCAAATATCTGGGTACCTCATGGCCCAGTCAAATTAATGGCATTTTGTCGCCTACTGGCAGCATTTTCTTGGTGAGGCAAAGAAAGTACAGAGCCTGTGATTGGTGAGCCACTCTACAGTGATCTTTGTTGGTTTGTTTGAATTAATGCTTAAAAGAATTTGTCACCGAGCCCTGTGTCACCATTACCCTGTTTATGGCCCTGGCTCTTACTGGCAGAATACTTCTGCAAATGGCAGGTGCAGTACATGCTCGTCACATTCAAAGATGACCAGTAGTCAGGAAGGAACTATTCCACTATCCACAAAAGATCTATGCATTAAAAACTGAAGGGAATAGGGAAAACCAAAGGTACTTAAAGAAAAAGTACTTAACATAGAAAAAGGCACAATAAAATACTGGGCAATAAATGCAGTGAAATAACTGCCATGATAAAATAAGAGAATGAAGGCACTATATATTGAGACAATAAAAGATAAAACACTATCTTTCAGAGCTCAGAAAAGGGACAGAGAAAAAATAAAGGCAAAATAGCAATGAAGGCCAAAGTGAAAGCAGCATGAAGAAGAAAGACATTGGTATCAAAATTTTCTTACATGAAAAGATGGAGAAAAGCAAATGGTTACTAAAAAGAGACCACAGACAGTTAAAAGATGATAAAGAGAATATGTAGATATGGAAGGCAAAGTAGAAACAGCACAAGCATAATAAGAAAAGAGAGTATATGTCTGTATGCCATATCTATATATAAAATTTTAAAATATATATGTATGCAAATATTACATATGAAACATAGTGAAAGCCATATATACGTGTGTATACACACAAAGCACAAAATCTACCTATGGGGGGTTGCCTTCCTACATATAAAACACCCCCCATACACACACACACACACACACACACACACGCATGCGCGCTCCAATACAGACATCCCATATATTCCCAGAAAAAGCACAGAAACTTTCCGAGGTAAAGTTCCTACAAGGATACACAAGGAAATAATAACACCGCTTACTTATATACACAAAACCTGGGTGGCTGGAGAATGACCTTACCTTGTATGATCTTCCTTAAATGTATATTACATGTTCAGTTCCTAAATGTAGAAATAAATATGTAAGTAACAATATTCAATATATAAATAGGCATTGGCCTACATTCACATCTGGAAAGAGTAAATAAATAAAAGAATTTCATTAATCCTCAAGTTTTAATTGTTTAGTTGTGCAAAGGACATAAAGCATATTAAATGAAACATTGTGATTAAGCAATTAGGAAATCCAAAGACTGAAACACTACTCGGGACAATATCGCAAATAAATAAATAATACATATAAGGATGATGGAATACTTTCATTAAGATAAAAAATAACATTTTGGCAATATGTTTAAAGGGCCTATCATTTAGCCAGCTCCACCACCGAGCCCAAAGCCACTACCTGTTCCACCGCCAAAACTGAATCTTCTGGCTCCACCTCCAAAGCCAAAGCCAAATCCACCTCCAACAAATAATATTGAATTATTTGTTGAAGAGATAATATCATTTCTTCAAATTGTTTTCAAAATATTGAGGTGGTGAGTAAATTGGGTGGATGCACAGAACACATAAGTTGGACAGGAGATAATGTTGGCAAAGCTACATGATACTGATATACGGGCCCATTATGCTGGTCTACTTTGCTACTTGTTTGAAAAGTTACATAAAGAAACAAAAGTAACATTTCACATTAGAAAGCATTGAAAAGTGGTGATCGTTTTGTTAGCTTAAAATGACTTTAAGTGCCCAATATCTCCGCTGGCAGACAGAGCAGGCTGGGAAGAGGAGATCACCCAGGACGTTCTGAAAACAGCACAGCACGCACGACCTTTTGTGAGGTTGCTGATACCAAGTCAAAGCTGGAGGCAGGACAATTTTCCCTGACTGAAGGAAGCCAAAAATTGCAATATCGATATTTCATAACTTTTCTAATAATCTGGGTGTGACCTCTCCATGTGTAAAGCCCAGCCCTTCCCGATGTGCAAGCTCACCTTCCAGCTCCGAGCCCAGCCCATGCTCACCACATATAAACAGCGGCCCGGAGCTCGCCTCACAGTCCTGCTCCTCTCCCTCCAGCCTCCAGCCTCTCGCGCTCTCTCAGCCTTCTGTCTTCTGGAAGCATGTCCAGCAAATCCACCATGAGGAGCCACAGCAGCAGCCACCGTGGCTTCAGTGCCGGCTCAGCCAGAGTCCCCGGGGTCTCCCGCTCTGGCTTCAGCAGCGTCTCCGTGTCCCGCTCCCGGGGCAGTGGTGGCCTTGGTGCAGTGTGTGGAGGAGGTCGCTTCGGCAGCCGGAGCCTCTACAACCTGGGGGGCTCCAAGAGGATCTCCATCGGAGGGGGCAGCTGTGCCGTCAGCGGTGGATATGGCAGCAGAGTCGGAGGTGGCTTTGGCTTTGGAGGTGGAGCCGGCAGTGGATTCAGCTTTGGCGGTGGAGCTGGTGGTGGCTTTGGGCTCGGTGGTGGAGCTGGCTTTGGTGGTGGCTTTGGTGGCGCTGGCTTCCCCGTGTGCCCCCCTGGAGGCATCCAAGAGGTCACGATCAACCAGAATCTCCTGACCCCTCTGAACCTGCAAATCGACCCCACCATCCAACGCGTCAGGACCGAGGAGCGCGAGCAGATCAAGACCCTCAACAACAAGTTCGCCTCCTTCATCGACAAGGTGAGACATGAGGCCGTGGCCTCCACAGAGTCTGCGAGTGACAGAAACAAAAGCCCTCCTACTGGGGGAGACATAGGACAGAGGGACAAGGGGCTGAGACTAGCCCTCCACGGGGATCCCAGATGGCCCATGTTGACACCAGGCAGCAGGTGATGACACGCATCTAAGGACTGACCCTGTGAAGTGGCCTCATCCCTGTCTGGGAAGAGCTCTCACCTGTGAATAACTGAATCCCAGAAGGGACGAGGAGAGATGGCATGACTTCATTCTTCCTTCTCAAGTGTCTCAGAGACTACAAAGAAAATGACACTAGTAAATTAGTCTGGGCCAGAAAAAAAATGTTTAAAGAACACAAAAAGATATTATTGGTTGACTAAGAAATAAGAGACTTAGAAATATTTATGCAATATGTAGAAATGCCAATTTACCCTAAAAACAATGACCATAAAGTAGGGTACTTTAGAGCAGACACAGGCACTGAAGGGGACGTTGGACAGGAATCTGGTCATCAGGAGGCACACTGCATGCCTCTGACTCAGGTCCTGTCACTCAGGAAAACTGGGGACAATATGTCAGGTACACACTATTGAAAACTAGATTTCTGGTTGTGCTTGGGAAAGGGGGAAGAAATATTGAAGGTCACTGGTCTGTTCAATAACTTAGAAGGGGAGAAAACCTGAACGTTCCATAAGAGATTTTCGCAAGTTAGATCTGCCTGGTGCAAAGGGAAAAGGTTTGGGGAGCAGGACTCAGCCTGAGCCTTCTGCACGCACTGTGATACCCCAGCACCGTGGGACACTGCAGACCTGCCAGGACACCTGATGACACAGACACTTCTTGCTTCCTTCCTTGTCTGGCAAATGACCGTCTTGTCTCCTCTCCAGGTGCGCTTCCTAGAGCAGCAGAACAAGGTCCTGGACACCAAGTGGACCCTGCTCCAGGAGCAGGGCACCAAGACCGTGAGGCAGAACCTGGAGCCTTTGTTCGAGCAGTACATCAGCACCCTCAGGAGGCAGCTGGACAGCATCCTCGGGGACAAAGGCCGCCTGGACTCAGAGCTCAGAGGCATGCAGGACCTGGTGGAGGACTTCAAGAACAAGTGAGTCAAATGGGGAAAAGGGACTCAGCATTCTGAAGCACACACTTCAAGGCTATTGGGTTCAGGTCCCGATGTGGGCAGGATTCCTGGCATGCATGTCCATGTACGTGAAACTCACACATTATTGCCTAGCAAGAAACCTGCAAGTAGAGAGGAGGGCTGGGGAACAACTGGGGAGATTAGAGGAGTGAAACATTTGTAGCAACAAAACTTGGCCTTTAGGCTCTGTGTGGCACGAAAGAAGAATCAGGACGTACTGCACATGCGGACAGTGTGGGGTCACAGGCTGCTTTTCAGTTTCCTGCTACCACTGGCTCAATGGAGTCTCTTACCTTCCTCCCTGCAGATATGAAGATGAAATCAACAAGCGCACAGCAGCAGAGAATGAATTTGTGACTCTGAAGAAGGTGAGCAGATTCAGCCAGGGCTTCAGGCTCTTTGCTAAGGGAGACAAAGGACTCCGTGCCTCTGCTCGCCTGTGAGAGGAGGATGGGCAGGGAGCACAACCTATGGGCAGATGGGGCAGGGGCTCAGGTCACTGCACGTTGTCGGCTCTTTCCCCAGGACGTGGATGCTGCCTACATGAATAAGGTTGAACTGCAAGCCAGGGTGGACAGCCTTACAGACGAGATCAATTTCCTGAGAGCCTTCTACGACGCAGTAAGTATCTCCACTCTCCTCTTATTTGCTCTGATGGGGGTCTGCAAAGGAGGAGGACCCATCAGCATGCATAGTGGTTTTAACGGCGCAGGGGTAAATGGTCTCACACACTTGTGTTCTGCAGGAGCTGTCTCAGATGCAAACCCACATCTCAGACACATCCGTGGTCCTGTCCATGGACAACAACCGTAACCTGGACCTGGACAGCATCATCGCTGAAGTCAAAGCCCAATATGAGGAGATTGCTCACAAGAGCCGGGCTGAGGCTGAGTCCTGGTACCAGACCAAGGTGAGCGGGGAGGTGGCAGCTGCCAGGAAATCTCTGTGTCCCACCCTGTGTACCAGAAGGCTAGAAGAGACTTCACTGGGGAAATCTACTGAAAAGAATCTAGCATCCTCTCACATGACAGGTACGCTGCACTGTCAGAATAGATATTATAGCAGTTATGCCTAAGTCTTAGAAGAAAACCAAGGATGATGTCCATGTTCATAAGCACTGGGAATCCTTGCTTATGTTCATCCTCTTAGATGTGTATAGTACAGAGCACTGCCAGTCCCTAAGGATGAGACACTCAGTGGACTCATAATGAGGATGGTCTTGATTTGGTTTCACAAGTCTTATCCATCTTATAAAATCAACTTTTCTTAAATACCCTGAGGAGAAGCCATTAGGTTCAACTTCAACACATGTCTGATTCAGAAGTGGAAGTCATGGTTCACCTGTGTAAACTCATAGCCTCTGTCTCTCTCTCTACCTCTGGACGGCAGTACGAGGAGCTGCAGGTCACCGTGGGCAGACATGGGGACGACCTGCGCAACACCAAGCAGGAGATTGCTGAGATGAACCGCATGATCCAGAGGCTGAGATCTGAGATCGACCATGTCAAGAAGCAGGTACGGTGTGGGCCAGTGGTGTAGAGAAGCACCACTTCCTTGCTAGACCATGAGCCAGTCATTGACCATCATCTGGGAACATTTCTGGGAAGTAAGCAAACACTACGGAAAGGACCTCACGCAGCTCCTGCCCTCAGTGAGAATCAAGGAGATGTGGATCCCACCCCAGAGGATTAGACTCTGAAGTGGGAGGAGGAGACAGTCTCAACAGCCTCGTGTGAAAAGTCATCGGGTCACTTAGGGGCCACCATGATTTTGTATGATTAGTGTGGCATCCACATGTGATCATCAAGATCTTGTTGTAGCTTTGGAGACAGCACTCAAACCAACGCAGTGGGTCATACATCCAATATGCCTTGTTATTGTGTCCATGCAGTGTCACTGATTTGTAATGAGCCACACCTTCATGCATGCTGGATAATACTAGGGGCATAGGAGTTTGTTACTTACCTCCCATACTAGATGAGTATGCAGAGTGAAAAAATACTGAACAGTGAGGGTCATAGTTCCTTCTCTATCACTCTGGGCTCCTGGACTCTTGTCTCTAGGGATAGAGAAGAGCCAGGTTAGTGTGCTGTAAGGCACCTCATCCAAGTTCACTCTTGCTTTCCTTTCCAGTGTGCCAACATGCAGGCCGCCACTGCAGACACGGAGCAGCGTGGGGAGATGGCACTCAAGAATGCCAGGAGCAAACAGGGAGAGCTGGAGGATGCCCTGCCCAAGGCCAAGCAGGCCATGGCCCAGCAGCTGATGGAGTACCGAGAGCTCCTGAACGTGAAGCTGGTCCTGGACGTGGAGATTGCCGCCTACAGGGAGATGCTGGAGGGCGAGGAGAGCAGGTGGGTCCCTGAGCACACCTGGATGTCTGGCACCCGGCACGGCGTAGGGCACAGCAGCCATGGCCATAACTGCTAGTCTTGCAAAACAACTGCAAGAGCAGTTTCCCATGGACTGCTGCTCACACGGAGCTTCCCACGCGGGCCCAGGGAATGGCTCCCCGAGTCTCATCCTGCCTGTGTTCCTCCCTCTAGGCTGAATGGCGAAGGCGTCGGACAAGTCAACATCTGTAAGTACCCTTGCTTGCCTTCGTCCCCGGCCCTGGCACTCTTCTGGGTGGGCTGCGGCCGGCAGAAAGAGCTCATGGTGTCTTCTCGTGTCCTTGTCCCCTCCCCACCACAGCCGTGGTGTAGTCCACCGTCTCTGGCGGCTACGGCGGTGCTGGCGGTGTCGGCAGTGGCGTAGCCCTGGGCGGAGGCAGCGGCTACTCCTACAGCGGTGGTCACAGCCTTGGAGGTGGCTTCAGTTCCAGCAGTGGCAGAGGCCTGGGGGGTGGCCTCAGCTCCGTGGGAGGCAGCAGTTCCTCCATCAAGTACACCACCACCACCACCTCCTCCAGCAAGAAGAGCTACAAGCACTGAAGTCCTGCCGCCAGCTCTCGGTGCCACCAGCCTCAGGCCCCTGTCTGGCTGCAGAGCCCTCTCCTCAGGTGGCTTGTCCTCTCCTGGCCTCCGGTCTCTCCTGCTCTCTGAGTGGGAGCCGAGGCTGCATGTTGAGTGCCCTCCCTTGCCCTCTCTGTCTACACCTGCCCTCCTGAGCTCCCTTTGCTCCATCATAAGGTCAACAGTTATTGTCACACAGACATAAAAATGTTATTTGTTGTCCTCATTTCATTACCGGATGTGTAAGTCTTCCATAATTCTGAGAGAAAAATGACATCTGCCCTCCTAACAATTATATTAACCACTTTGGTATGAGCATCAACCATAGTCCATAGCCACAGATGAACTTGCACAGCCGAGCGTCAACTATGAGGTTTTGAGGCCTGTGAGCGCCATACCGAAGTGATTATAATAAGTCAGTCTGGGTCATGCTCTGGACCAGGAATCTTCCCATCAATTTCTCACTGCCCTTCCCATTATTTCACACTCAGGAGCTCTCCATCTGGCAAGTAAGTAGTCGTGATCTTCCCTTGCTGAGTCCCCAATGTGTGACAAAACCCTCTGATGCGCGGTCTGTATTGAGCACTGCTTTTCTCTGCTCTCTTTGCTTTCTTGTGTTCTGTTGAATAAAGCAGATTTAGAATGCAAAAATCTTGTGTTAGATTGTGCTGTTGACCATGTATTGATTTAGAAACTTTCTCATCCCACAAATGGATCCTCATCATTGGGGATCCACCCTCCCCCTGCCAACAACACACCATGCTTCATAGCCCACTCTGTCCATCCACAATACGTGATTCCACAGGACCCTCTGGGTGGATGATTGCCAACAACTATGCAGCCCTTGCCACTCAGGACTTTTTCCCCAAAGAGTGTATTTTAAAGCACTGAACAGAAGGGAAGCCAGGTCCTGGAATCCAGAACAGCATAATCTGATAACTGAGGATTGCTTTTTCTTTTCCCAGCCCCTTCATTGGGTGGCTTGGCCCCATCCTGATCCCTGAGACTCCCTAAGAACCCCCACCCCCACCCCCTAGGACGCACTGCGCTGATCCGGCAACAGAAACACTTGGTCAGAGGCCAGGGGCTCAACTCAGTTCTATGATTATTACGACTTTTGCCACAAAGTAGTTGCTTTGATACAACTTCTAAAATCTATTAAACTAATTAATACCGTAAAAGCACATCCCGAGGTCTCAGTACGTGGACTGACAGCTACGTGGTGCTGCTTGTGGTGGAATGGCTTTGACACGACCCAGACATATGTTGGTTCAACCCTGCATGTCAATCAGCTGCAATTTGGCTAATTGGAAGAACCCTCTGCTGAGTCCTGCTTCAAAGAGACTAATTGTTTTTGCAATAATGAGTCATGGGCCCTAATTTTTCATTCCTCTGTCTAGGCTTGTGAATATTTACCTCTCTAAAAGTGGAGCAGGGAGAGGTTCCTATTCTTCAGTCACCTTCAATCAATCACTCCTAGCTTAATGGCTCTCAGTTTCCCGGCATCGTTGTCATTGTCACCACCCTGATCACCAGTGTGTGCTGATTCTGAGACTTCGGGTCAGCCCCTCACGCATCCCAGAAGGAGGCAGACACTCCTAGGGGACCGGCCCTCCTGGGGATCGCGGAAAACACAGCCCCACATGCAGATGCTCTTGTTCTTAGAAACACTCAGGCGAGCGATGTAACACCCGATCGAACAGCTCTGAGCCAAAAGGTGGGAGCACATTCCATCTTGTGTCTGGCGTGACTCACCCTGTGACTTCCCTGGAAATGTGTGGAGCAAGCTCAGCCCTGCTACACTCGGCGCTGCTCCACCATGCTCTGGTGCCCCAGATGCAGGTCCGGAGCCGCAGGGAGACCGAGGCTCATCCAAAGCCCTCAAGGTCCACCCAGAGACCAGCCACACCACCCGCCGTCTGAATCCCATGCTTTTAAATTCTGTAATCTACCATTTTATGTGACTTTCACTTCACATGCATGGCTTTATTTCCTCACTGAGCCCCTAGGGTGGGAACCGTGGAGGATGCTTATTTCTGTCCCAGCGCCCGCGGTCAGTGCGGCACGGAGCACGGCTCTGGGCCAGCAGGCAGGAAGACAACCCGCCCAGCGTCAGTTTTACTCAGCTTCCTGAGGGCTCTGGGCCTCACTCTCCTGGTTTAGGAAACACGCCGCCTCCACGATGTGCACTCCCTGAGCTCTTTTGGAGCTGAGGTGAGCAGCAAAGGCCTGGGCGCTGGACCACATGGTCACAGCTGGCCCCGAAGGGGAGGCAGCCGCCCAGGTATCTCGAGCTCCTGGCATGTCCTGCGCCTGCCCTTACGTGACCCCTCTCATAAGAGCACTTCCTTGTCTCACAGTGCTGGGACTGCGCCTCCTCCGTTCTGGGTCCCCAGCGCCAAGCCTCACAGATCCCCAACACGTATGCTGAAAGAATAAAAGAATGGATGCGCAAATGCAGCTTGTTTTAAGGCGCAGGTCACAAGTGGCCTCTCAGATGTAGCTGGGGTGAGAGAGAGAGCTAGGAAGCAAGAAAGAGGGAAGAATTTGGGGACGGCCAACTTCACGAGACCGGGAGGCAGCCATGCCCAGCACAGGGGTGAGGCTGCCGCGTCAACTCTCATTTCCAACAGGTGACACACACACCCTTCAACCGCAGCCTCCAGACCTAGGAACCAGCCAATGAGAGGTGCCAGCAGTGACCTTCTGGGGGCCAGTGTCACACGTGCCACAGGCCCCAAGCATTGCTCACCTGCTGGGTTCCCCAGCCACCATGCCCTCAGATTCACGAGAGCGCCCCTGGGTGCCACTCAAGGAAGGGCCGAGGGCATCCCATTCTCCCCCCTCTTCCGCCTGCAGCTTCCCTGTTCAGCAGCATCTACTCAGCCAGCCTAGAGAGACTCGGTGGGGGAAACATCCCAACCCTAGGGACAAATGAGGCCACTGAGGTGGTCAGAGGTGAATGGCCAAGGCACACCTGGAATCCTCCAGTGGTTTCTCGGGGAGGGGGGCACAGGGAGGCCCTGAGAGGTTGCATAGCAGCCCCTCCCTTCAGGAAGGGCCCTCCTTGTGCTTGCTGGGTCCTAGGCAGGATGGGTCAGGGCCAACGTCGGGCAGCAGAAGAGTAAGAGTTGGCTACCAAGTGATCACGTGGCCTTCTGCAGTCCTGCCTGGTCTCGGACCCTTGTTTCCTCTCTCTGGGGCTCCTCTGGACTTTACAAGATGACATTTCTCTTTTGCTTTGCTGCTCTGTCCCACTGCACCCAGGTGGCACCACTTCCATGTGTAGCTTGCTGCTCTGTGAATGTTCTTAAGAGGGACATGTCTGGTGTCTGTCTCTGTGCGTGCACATCTGCTGGGCTGTCTGAAGGTCCCAATCGTGGAGGGAAGGGCAGTGCAATCTGGCTCTTCTCCTAAGCACAAGCTGAATGAAAAGAACACAAACTTTGCTGCTAAAACTGGACCGATGGGGTCTGGGAGGGCTGTCTGGCCTACCTGCACGAGGCTCTGTGCCTGCCCAAAGAGGTTGGGCCACGTGAAAGGCCTGCTGTGCTGGCAGTGGAAAGGCATGGATCAGGTGATGTGCCATATGCTAGCGGATGTCCCACTGAAGCTTGGTTGTTGTTAGATCAGCTGGCCATTTAGTGCCCTTGGGATAGCAGTTTAATTACCTCTGAATGCAGGAGCACAGGGGCCGTAAGATAGGGCAGGCTATGCAGTGCTTAGGTAGGGATACCAATATTGAGGAATGTGGCTGCCCCAGGCACAAAAGGGTGAAGGTGGAAAATTGTTCCTGGCCATGTCTCAGGCACCACCGCAACAGAATTATGACACCCTAGGGGAGTGTGTCAGCTGGGAGACCCAGGTTGTGACTGTACCTCCAAACCACTTGGCGTCCCCTTCTTCCTCCAAGGCAAAGGAGGAGTTTTGTCGGCTTTGTTCACAGCCATATCTCCCAGGCCTGGATCAGCAAGCACTTGGCTCACAACAGGTGCTAATAGTTACTCCTAAAGCCAGGCTGCCCAGAGAGGAGAAGTCAGCAGGATCTAGCATATCGAGCAACTGGGGGTGGGGGCTGTGGGCTGGGTCCTCAACGCAGTGCCCAGGGCCGGCTCTGGTGATTCGCCAGGTTGTCCAGGGAGGCAAAGCCTCTGCTCCGTGGTGTTCCATCTGGGCCACCCTGCTGGGCTGGCCTGAGAGCCCAGGCACCCAGGGGGCACCCTCAGCTCCTCGTCCTTGGGAGCACATCAGCACCTTCTCTCCTCCCACCCACCTCCACAGCCACGATCGCCACCCTGCTCAGCCTCCGGTGGAAACCCACCACTTGCCAAGGACCTTGGTGTCCCTCTGAGGATGATGGGAGATGACCCTGGGGCAGGACAGGCAGGGAAACAGGAGGTGGAAGAGGTTCGCTCACCCAGCCTCGGGCACCAGAGCACACAGCAATGGCCTGGAACCCTCCACTCCCCAACTGCAAGGATGCTCCCAGGTGGACCCATAACTACAGAGTTCAAAAGACTCAGGAATGCTTGGAGAACAGAAATGATACGTGAACAACTATATAGCAAACACTTCTGCCACGGTTCTATTTATGGTGTTTAGGAGGGCAAGTGGTGGGGAGAGAGAAACACCCACACCCTCAGAGTAGACCGATACCCAGACCACAGAAAACAGACAGCAGGTGTCTAAGCAAACAGTGTAAAGGATTAGTGCCTGGGGAGTTTATTTGAAAAGTTTCGTTGGGAGTGAGTTTTAAGCAGAATTTAAAAGGAGGTTAAAACACAAAACAAACAAAACAAAACTTCCTTGACAGAAGCAAAGAAGGTGTTAATAGTCTGTAATTCAGGACTTAAAGTGAGTGGTGAACAGGCTGTGCGGGCCAGATGTCCAGACACTCAGGTAAACATCTTCCCCCAGGGTAAAAGATGCATCACAGTGCAGGTCACAGAGTGCCAGGGAAGGAGGGGAAGAGGGACAGCATCTGCTTTCAGTGTAAATCTCTCTTCTCGGCCCAAGTCTGTAAGGACAGTCTAACTCCAGGGAACACCATCTTGGTGGAAAAATTAGAGCACAGAAGGAGAAAAGAATAAATGAGCACCC